TCGAAATAACGGTATGTACCGGGATTCTTGAGTCCAAACAGGGCCGTTGGATAACACATTCCGCTTGAACTAAACAATTATTCAAATTACATTTCACTCGACAGATCATATTTGTTTTGTATTTTTTTTAGCTAGCAATCCGCTCGACTGTTCACGAGTTCTCTCCCGATAGAATTCAAGAACTGTACTCATGTGGGTATCTGTTATATTACTGGTTCATTCAAGCATCAGAATAGAGCAGTGATTTGGTGGGAGACTGTATTTTTTTCAATGCTTTTAGATATATACATTTGTTGGTCAAAATTAAAAATTAAAAAACCAGAAGAATATTAAAAATGATATTTACTCCCACCGTAGAACTGTGCCTGACATTTTGGCCAATCGTTGCTAAGCATACCTTTTTGAACGTTGCCTTTGTGTTAATACAGTTTTTGAATCAACATGCGGTTGAGATTTGTGAAGATTATTGCTGACACAATTATTTGTCAAGCAACGAGCGCGGCAGCAGGCTTCATATTTCTCCGATTTGTTGTGTGTTTGTAAGGTGTAGTTGCTTGATGACTTAAAACAAGATCGTTATGAACACAATTTCAACCGAAACTGTTCGTGTGTGAATATGATACTGAATCGTGATCGCTAGCTGCAAAACCAGCGCGCTAATTTCCGATCCAGAAATCGTGTCTTTCACCAACGGATAAATTATTAACGACGGTCATGTTTTGCACAAAAATCGGTTATAATTTGATACACGATGACGTCATCATGACGTCAGATTAATGTACACGCTTCTAAATCAGGGTTATTCAAAGTTTCTCATAGGCGTAGCCAGCGGGGGGAGGGGGGGTAAAGGGGTATTTGATGCCTTTTTTTCTCCAGCGCTTACCCCCCCCCCCAATATTTTGTAAAAAGTGCCCTTTTTTTCTGAACAAGTGCCCTTGTAAAAGTTAAGTGGTGGCCTTTTTTGGTGCCATCGGCCGTTGCTGGTGCCTTTTTGTGAATTTCGCGCATGTATCGCCGTTAAAAGCACTATATATTGTCCGTTAGTGTGCGTAATCTTCGGTTTTGAACAGCGCCCCCATCGACAGATGGTACCCCCCCTCCCCCCATTTGATTTTACGGAGGCCAAGTGTCCGGGGGAAAAAAAGTGTCTACATTTCAGCACGGAAGAGCAAGTGTCCTTTTCAAAAGAATGTTAACCCCCCCCCCCCCCCTTCCAATAAAAATGACCGTGCTACGCCACTGTTTCAAATTTATACCATGTACCCTTTAGAGAGAAAAAGTTACGGAGAATTATTGTCCGAAAAAACAGGAAAGAAAGAGATTAAATCATTCTTAATTTTCAAAACGGTGATCGGGTCCTACCCGATTACCCAAATATATCAGTGTTTTGTTGTTCAGAATAAGGAATTCCTGGCTGACAATATTTCCGCTACTACTTCCCTTGTGCACTCTCAAAACAAAATTGTCCAAATACTGACTGCTTTTTTAGTACTTGAAAACCTTATTTGAATTCTTGTCGCTATTCGTGTCGTATAGCACACTATACATTCACGGAAGAATTTATTGTCAAAAACAAGGTTGTTCAGGTTCGACTGGTTTTGAATCAAACTCTGGCTGCATTTTTCTTCAAGAGTTCATAACATCAGTTTCACTGCTAGTTGTAATTTATCGTGATTTATACTTATTCAAAACGATTCACGCATTTGTGTTATTTCAGGTGAGCTAAAAATTGCTGCTTTAACATTTTGGTATAAAGAAAAGAATCGTGCGAAAGTTCGACTGTTTATTTCCTGAAACATAAAATTAAATACTGGTGCGATGTACTCACATTGTGTTCCGGCAATCACTCAAACTAATTCAGGATGAAGAGTTATGGGGAAGTTGGTCACGGAACTGAGAGGGTATACAGGAAATCCAGACAACTCAAACATGCCTGTTTTATTATGTGTTACCAGTAATTGTGGATATTAGCAGTACCTTTTGAACCTTGTTGTTAAACTGTTTCATTTCGCTTGAGTTCACAGTGCGCCATTCCGGTTGATCATCAAACATTCAAGCATTTGGATAAACGTGTCAATGAAAATAGAGGGCGCAAATACAACTGGACAGGATCGTGATGATGCACACAGTTGTATTCAAATTGCTCTATCTAGTTGGATTCGTTTGCAGCAATCGTGTATGGGCCTTATTTTCACGAGTTGGCCATTTTTGTCGAGTTCCTTGAACGTATTTCATTAAGTGGTAACTGTTCAATAGGATGGCGCCACACTATTTATGCAGGCACAATGCAGCCTTATTATACATTTTTTTTAAATCTGGCTTTAAACATTAGGGAATTTTTAAATTACAAATTTGAAGTTATTCATTGAAGCAGACTGAAATTAATTAGGAATTAACTTTCTTTCATTTCTCGTCGCAAGTTCCAAAATGAAGATTTTACCTCACTTTCAATTCAATATGGCCGACTCGTGAATAAGGCCCATGGCGTTCATGTCTGTACAAATTATTCGGTCCTTTTGCTCTGCTGTTCGCCTTAAAATGTGAAGAAACAAACTCTCGGATGAATTCAGTCATGTTTGCATGTAGGGTTCCACTCAGCATGCCACTGCGATTCTGCTGATTATTTTCTTGAAATAAGGATAGAAGTATTTGCTTCATACTTTGAAAGTGTGTGGTTAGTTAGTACACAAATAATAAAAAACAAATATGCAACATCATTCGGTTATTCAAATTAGGGTTTGCCCTTTACCGACGTATAAACACTGTATACTCAGTGTGTTTACCTCCCGAGTGAAAGTTGGAAAAAAATCACTCGGGTGGGACTCGAACCCACAACCTCCTACTTTCTAGTGCAGACGTCTTACCACTCGACCACCGAGCTAACAGGAACGGTTGACTGGTTCGAATCTGATGTACATAGCAGCGGGTACCGCATTAACTATTCATAAGATGGAATTTTGCGTCGGGGTGATGTAAATCATATTAGGTTTTGCCCTTTACCGACGTATAAACACTGTATACTCAGTGTGTTACCTCCCGAGTGAAAGTTGGAGAAAATTACTCGGGTGGGACTCGAACCCACCTCCTGCTTTTTGTAACGACTGTAACTTGACTGCGGTACTCCACCAGTAATGTTCCCGCAAAATACAGGGCGAGTCACAAAAAAAGCGGAACCCAAACGCCATATATATATTTCATATTTGAAAAAAATATGTAGCACCAATAATAACAATTACTGGAAAGCCTATTTCAAGCTACTTTTAGATAAAAAAAATACTGAAATTGCTCAATCCGTTCAACGAATATCACCATTTAAACGCAATGACCCTAAAACCTGTTTCGTCCAAAAAGCAAAGAAAATGACACAGAATACTGTTTCATCAACTGTCAACAATTGTAGTACCAAATATCTTTATTAACAACCCTAATATAGGCAAACAATTTGATTAATAAAATCCATTTTTTTGAAAGACGGGCCTTCAAAAGGATTTTGTTGAATATTTTTTACTTTTACACTGAGGTTTTATCGCTGGTGATGTTTAAAGACAATTGTGACGCCGATTCTTGAAACTGCATTTTTGGACGAAAGAGGTTTAAGGGGTCATTGCGGGTCAACGGATTGAGCAATTTCAGTATTTTTTTTCATCTAAAAGTAGCTTATGAAATTGGCTTTCAAGTCATTATTATGTTTGGTGCTACATATTTTTTTTAAATAAGAAATCTAATTTTGGGGGTTTGGTTTCCGCTATTTTTGACTCACCTGTACTTCCTTGGTTAAGTGTTCGATTTTCCTTGATAATGCTGAAAATGTATGCTCATTGTGATTCCTACAATTACATATTGTACCATTTTTTTACCAATTAGAAAAACAAACATATATAGGATCCTTTGCTTTCAGTGCTTAATTTTGTCGTTAGAAGCAACAAAATGGCCTCATATCTCAAATCTTAAGGAGGTCGCAACTAACCTGTTGAAATTTAGCTCCATGGATACTTTCATTGAGATAAACAGAGAAAATGTCTGCAATAATGTTTGGGTCTCGTAACTTGATTCCATTGCTTGATAACACCTACAAGACTTTGTTTTTAATTGTAAAAATACCTTCAATTTTTTTTTCAAACGATATATCAGGCAAAATATTTTCAATGGGTATTTGGTACCACTCTTAGCATTGCAAGGTATCTATCTTTAAATCGCTTTGTACTTTTCAGGGCAAAAAATTGCAACGATTCTACGTGGCCTTAAATTCTTTTTGCACACAGTTTTCATTTCTCTAGGAAAATCTGGGTGTGTGTTTAGTGGTTACTGCGTGTGATTTGAAAATTGTAAATCCTTCGAAGAAGACATGCGTGGGTCTATTCAGGGCCGTTGCATGCAGGACGCATTCCGCTTGAAATAAATATCAACCCAGGTAACATTTCGTCCGACTTAGATTTTTTTTCTGAACCTATGCCTCCCAACCAGTTCCTAATATAATTATCTCCGAGCGGATTTTCAATGACTCATTTTTGTTGGTATTATTTTCAGCCAGCAATCTGCTCGAGTGTTAAAAGTAAATGAGTCAATAGTAAATTTGCCTGGACAAGTGCAGCAAAAGCTTCGAATAACAACAAACTTTGGATCGAGTTACTAGTGCCCCCCAAAAAAATTAGTTCAAAAAAAAGTTTCAATAATTTTCAATAATTTCAACGTTTATACAAAACGAATGTTAATTTCAAGAATCAGTCAATTCGTGAGAAATTGAACAATTTGACATTAAAACAGGTTTGTTTTTTCCCGAGAAATTCGGCAGAGAAAGCCAATTGTTTTAATTACTTTACCCTTATTAATTGGTGAGTATTTTTCCTGTTTTGGGGGGATGGCAGTTTATCAAAATGAGGAAAAAACAACTAATTTATCTTAATTGATAATAAAATAGTATTCCTTACTAAAGTATAAACGTAACCAGCCTTCGTTTGTATGTTTTTTTTAGCCTAGCTACACTGAACTCCTTGTGATCTCTTCTTGGACCTGATCTTCAAGAACGAACCGTCGAGGTGGGTGTGATGAGGTTTAATTGATGATTCTATAAGGACCAGAGATTTGCTTCTTTTTGGGGGGAGGCGGGAGCACATCTTTCCCGTTGAGAGGCAGGATGTGCTCCCCCTCCCCCTTAAAAAAATGAACAAAGATACAAATATAGCTCCGGAAAGCTTAACCCTATCGGTATGCAGTTTGGTGACCTTTCCTAATTTCTATCGGCGGGCCAAATCCTAACAAAATCAATTGCCATGGCAACCGATTTAATAACAAAAGAATAATAGGCTTTTCATAAATGTTAGCTCTTTGCCCTCTGGCACACGACTATTATATCAAAAGGAACACATTCTCTGAACAATGATTTCTCCAATCTCATGTTTGTTTGTTTTTTTCAAATCGGACGGCGGATTACCATCAGTTTTGCCCTAATTCTCCAGTTGATCTGACTTCAATATTTTCTCGACTCTTCCCTGTTTCTTAACTCTTTCATTTATATAAAACAAATTTCCACCTGATATGTTTCAGTTTATTTTTTTTTTCTAAACAGAATGAAGTTCTGCGTGGCAACTGTTCTTTCAATCGCCCTCCTTCTGGGTAACTCCGTCAACCTCCGAGCTTCCGTTACTGGGCCGGCTCCCTCGGACGGCGATGGTCCTGCGTCGCAGGTGTGTCCGATGTGCTGCCAGGGACCTGCTGCAATACCCGGCATGCCAGGTCTGCCTGGACCGTTCGGTCAGCCAGGTCCAAAGGGTGAAGTTGGGGTTACTGGGCCTAAAGGTGATGAAGGGAAAAAGGGTGAGCCTGGGGAGACATCACACTGCTGCACCCAGCAGATAGCATTCAACGCGGTGAGGACGAGCGACTCGGATACATCTACGAGTGGCGACACCCGTATGCCCTTCCAGGAGACCAAGACGCTTCTGCCGGGTACCAGCTTCGACCTACAGATTGGCACATTCACGTGTAACGTGTCGGGTACCTATGTGTTTATGTTTGCTGCGTGCAAACATCCTTCAAGCAGCTCTCTGTCCGTTTATCTCCGGAAGAACGGCGACTGGATTGCCAATGGCTATAGCAATGATTCAAGTCACTATGAGCTTGTGTCTGGGAGTGCGGTGTTGGTTTTGCGGCGTGGAGACACGGTGTATTTAACCTATCGCGGTAGGGCGCATAGTAATAGCAATCACGACATCACATTCAGTGGCTTCCTGCTTTACCCTGAATAAATAAAACAATCACATAAGATACGCGAGCATCGTGTTGCTGATTTTTGTTTAATCACTTTCCATTTTACCGAAACAATAACCAATGAATTAAAAGAAATAGTGTCCAATGTCACAACAATATCATTATTGTAAAGGTGTTTGTATTGGGCATGCGCCGATCTGTATACAACAATAGATTGACACTGTGTGTGTGCATGTTTATAGCTTTATGTATGACTGAGAATTTTTTCTTCATAGTAAGGTAGCTAATTGTTAGAAACCAAACAACACCATGCTTTCATTTAAGCAGCGCCACCAGAATGTCTAGCCCTCGCAAATTGTGTGTAAACGATAACCTGACCTATACCAGGAATTCGTTAAGGCCAAATTGCCAACCGCCAACCGTTTATTTGCTACATTTGGCTATAATTTCTCCGAGAATAAATGACACCATTATTTGTGTTATTGCGTAATTTATGAAATAAACATGTTCATTAAAATAATATCTTTATAGGTATGCTAAATTATATAAAAACGTATAAAAGACATACAGAAGAACAAACAAAATATTTACCTACCTACCTGGATAATTTTAGGGCGTTACTGTAAACACAATTTGTTTCTTGGCCTTATGTTCCCTATATGACCAACACATATGATGTCAATGTAATCCATCCAATGTTTCACCTTTTATTTCATGTCACGAACAAATTCTCAAGCGATTCAATCCGACTTAAAGCTTGACATTTGGAATAATAATTGTTTGAAATATTTTAATGCTATTCATAGCAATTTGTTGAGACGCTGAGGCCTGCAAGGAAAATGGTACAGTTTAAAGGTGCTTTGGAAAATAGAATACACTGTTTTTTTGTTAAATGTTTGCATTATTCGTCACATTATAATATGTGAGAATTATATACAAGTAACAATTGGCTGGCTATGAAAACAGTGAGATCACTTTATAGTATTTCAAGTAGATTTTTTGTATTGATCTAATTTGTAACACGATATTTGGACAAGAATTTCCCGAGGTGTGATCCATATTTCATTGTATAAGGACATTAATGTTCACACATTATAACGGGACTTCATTTATGTTCTAAACATTTGGTAATACACTATTTTTGCACGAATTCAACCCAAATTCACAGACAAGTAACGATTGAAAGACATTTTAGCCATTTAACTGAAAACAGTTGCGATCATTTGTCGTGAAAATGAAGGAGCAAAACCCAATCTGGAACATGTAAACATATTTTCTTTAGAATACAAGTCCTTGAATAGTTTATGATTGTTAAAATTGTAATCACTTTGATATTAAAAGATTCCTGCATATAAAGTCAGTCATTCAGTTTGTTATGTTGTATATTTTCGTGCCATTACTTATGGCAGGTCAGGATGAATACATTTTGGATTGGGGTAAAGGTCGGATACGGTTAAGGGTTGGTGGGTTAGGGTGGATGAGGATTGAGGCTAGTTAGGGTGCAGTTAGGGTAAGGGTTATAGGTAGAGTGGAGTTGCGGGTAAATGGGTTGAGAGTGAATAGGGTTGATGTTGGGTATTGGTAGAGCCTGGGTAGGACCAAGGGGTAATACTGGTGGATCGGAAGAGGGTTATGAAATATTAAAAGCAAGGAAAACCATGGATCAATGCCCCTACAGAGTGAAAAGGATCAACCTCCAAGTTTTTGAGATTGCAATGACAGACCTGCCGGTCGGTCAGGACCTTTTCATTTCGGTTACCATGGCAATATTGCGATATGGATCAGCTGCTGGGGGGGGGGGGTGGGATGGGAGTGGGGGCTCAGATATATTTTGAGGGTGGGATGGTTAAGGGTTGGTGTGTAAATGCATGATAGGTGTTGAGGCAGATGGGGTCGAGGACGGCTGATAGAGTCAAGCAGTATGGGGCAATATTGTGCCCGAGTCCCTTACCCACCTTAACTTGCAGGCAAGTATACCTGTCAGGGGAAGGGCGTGGCCAGAGATTAGGGAGGCTGGGTGTGACGCCCCATGTGACGTTCTTGTTTTCAATGTGGTCTTTGTTTTGGTCAAAAAACGCCTCATTCTTGACAAACAGGCCAACATTAACAGCTGCTCTTGCATAGCTTCAGACGGTGTTTGGTCTTGTCTTCTTTGAACAGTACCCATGTTGTCTTAAAACGGGGTTGGCTTGATCTTCCCGATACCCATCACCACCCCTACACCCCCCCCCACCCCCCCCCCACCCCCCCCCCCACCCCGTGGAGGCAGAGAGAAAAACAGGTTGGATACTGTGATAGCTTGAGGGCTTATATATAGCTGGGGCGAAGGATGGAAGGCTGGGTCCAGAATGTCGATCTAAACGTGCTTCCAAATTCGTGCGAAATCGGGTGATTTGTCATTAATTTGGCTGCCAAATCTAAGCCGACCGGGAAAACCTACAGTGAAACAGATGCTATGAGAATCTTAATTACTCGTGCAAACATGCACAGTTTACACAAAATTAACTCTACTCCTACACAATGAAGGAAAGAGATGTTTTTTCATATTCCAAGCCCTTGTACAATGCCTACACCCTAACCTGGCCTCCCCTTCCCCTTCCACTACAATTCTTCTATCGAGGCAGGTGAAACAGGTTGGTGTGAGAAGGATGAAATAAACTTTAAATAGCTACGGCATGGCAGAGCCGAGGGTCAAGGGCGAAGTGGACGGGAAAAAGCACGGGAAGAAGTTGGGGAGATAGCCGACACTTGAACAATCGCAACGCTCCAAAGACAAGCGCCATCAATCTCTGCTTAAGGTTGCTCGTGCTATAGAGCTGGCAAGTTTAATGTATTTCATGTTATTTTTTGACAGTAATACAATTCTTGAAACTTCATGTGTGATATTTCATATGGTTCATAACATGGATATCGACAGTACCAAGACTTGTATTGACGACTGGAGGATGATGATTGCAAAATCTGTCTTAACTTGAGGCGTATCACCAAAGCTGGGCCATCTCTCACTCTAACTGTACCTATTTCCACCGTGAGCGGGCGCAGGGTAAACACAGGACATGTTGACCCGATCGGTGCCGTCTTCTGCGTCTTCTTTTTTTCTTCAATATCCCCAGTAATACCCTTGACTGGAATATGCAACCCTTAAAATGTCCAAATTAACGCAATAATGCAAAGTATACTAAAAACACAATCCGTCACAGCCGTTTCGAAAGGACGTTATACAGTTGACACGGTTTCAATTCAATACAATAGGTATTTCTTCGTCCGCACAGCAAGCGGGTTCCTTTTGTTCCGAAAATTGACATTCAATCGGATTGGATATTGGCGTTTACAGCACTGTATTGTTTTTATTTATCATTTTTTGTATTATAATTGTTTGACAATAATCTTTATCACGACCAAGCATAAGAAGAAATATCAAATTCAGTACAACAAGCATTATTAAGTTATTGTCGGCCAAAGAATGCGTTGTTGTAATTAGGCAGGTTTTCAGTAAATATTGGCTTCATTTCGGCAGTTTTTTTCCCTCCGTGTTGACAACAATTTTTTTTACGATGGTGATCACTTTTTTGGTAGCGCCCCCTCATTGGAAAGAACATTTTGACTTCAGACAGGTTTGTCTCCGTGTTCGTAAAAAAAAAAAAACTTCACGGTGGTGACCACTCTTCGTGAAGCGAATTTTATTTGACTGAAGCCCGATTCATACTTTTTAGGGGTGGGAATTAAAAGGAAAACACATTTTGGGTCTAAATTTATAAACAACATGTACACACACAAGGTAAACTATACACACTGGGGTTTACTTAAAAGACAGAATTGGTGGTTGAAAAATAATGTTAAATTTTTTTTTTTATTAGTTTGGTAAACAACTAAGAACAAGTGACTAGTGACTCGGACTGTAGGCTTGTGACTCTAGGCTTGTGACTCGAGGCTTGTGACTCGAGACTCGGACTCGAGGCTTGTGACTCGAGACTCGGACTCGGACTCGAGGCTTGTGACTCGAGACTCGGACTCGGACTCGAGGCTTGTGACTCGAGACTCAGACTCGGACTCGAGGCTTGTGACTCGAGACTCGGACTCGAGGCTTGTGACTCGAGACTCGGACTCGGACTCGAGGCTTGTGACTCGAGACTCGGACTCGAGGCTTGAGACTCGAGACTCGGACTCGACGTTGGTGACTCGACTACAACACTGCCTTGTTAAGAACATGGACGATATATTCTGTGTTGCTGAAAGTGTAGGATACATTGCAACTCCGGATAAACGCGAGCTGCCAGTACTTGGAGCCTTTTTTATGACCGCTCGTGCCAAAACAAAAACGATACTAAAAAAGGAAGCCCTTGGTAGTTGTTGCAGTCGGTGCATCGTCCACCAGGCGCTGTTCTAGAGCCAGTATTTTAGGGGGGCTAGCAGGGTTAGATCCAAATTGTTTTCCAGGTAGGCGTGCCTTTTATTAATGAAGACCGTTTTTTTCTCCCAACACTTAGGCCTCCAAAAACCAATATGCTAGTGTGCTTACATATTGGCACTTATGGGGTACCGGGAACAAATTTGGCAACAATAGGGACAATGGTACCCCGCAACTCTGTCTTAAGAAATTGAAGTACCTCATACCCCTAACACTATGGTTTTGAGATTTCTAAGGAGACAAAGGAGAACAAAAGAAGAGGATTAGGGTCGAACAGCAGTGGTGCCCCATAGACCCTATATTATTTTATTTAGTGACACAAACTGCTGCCAAGGAAATATAGCTCTCCGTCTTTTGTATTTTAGGGAAAAAAAGAAATAAACTTAGATATTGACGACCTCCGACTTCTATGTTTTCACGAAGTGCAAATTACTTTGATGATGAATTACTAATTAATTGATGTTTACCCGAACGCTGTGATACATTAGTAATAAGCAAAATTTAGGTTTTGGCAAGTATACAAACTATGAAATACTGTTACCAGAAAGAGGTTGACCATGCAATGCTCAATATGGCTTACTTAAAACATGATTATCCCAGAATGAACATTTAACTGAAAAGTGACCTAACCAAACTACTTGTTTAAGATCCATAAATTCTGCAATGTAACATGACCAGAGTGAATGCGTTCTCGGAATCCAAGAACATGGCAACACGGTGAATGCCCAAGAAGGGTGTCATCAAAGAGCAGTTTACCATGTTAAAATATTGAAGGAAAACTTTGTGCTGCGCTGCATGGGTCAAAAATTATGATGATTGTGCGCACGATAACATTTAGAAATGCACGTCATCTTTGTATGGGATACTTTCCGGCTTAAAATTTCCGAAAACTACCACACAAGTTCGTGGGTGTATTATATTTCGAATTGTCGTAGTCGTTTAATAAAAAAAAAATAAGCTATATGTAGCGTCGTGCAATGCGAGACCGCAGGTCTTGTATAGCGCCCTCTCACACAATCCAAGTGCGCTATATGTAGCCGTGATGTCACGCACCATGCCTTTTTGTGTGCTGTGCTCTGTGTGTCAATTTCGTGAAGAATTTAACCTTGCTTCATCTTCGTGTGATAAAATATGGGCCCATAATTGTCGGTAGGAATCATAACTTATCCATAATTGATTATCCTTAATTGTATGAAGTTTCGTAAGATTCAGGGAGATAACTTCTAGCATGGAGCTAACTTTTTTTTGGGGGGGGGGGTTCTTAAAGGGGCATTACGGCCTGATTTCCCCGAAAATTTCATGTTTTGGATTGTTTATTTAGCCTATTTCAAACATGTGGTTGAAAGGAAACCAACCTAAAGTCTTACCGTTCCCAAGAAAAGAGGAAAAATCCCCAGTTGTTTACATCGGACACGACGAGATACGAATACGTTTTTCCTGTCGTTCTCAGTGAACGATATACACGTTGTGTGTCTCGGAAACAGCGGTGACCAATCACCAATGCACAAAATAAATTGTCTTCGACGTCCGCAAAAGGCGAACACTTTACGGATGAAATCACAACTAGCACTTAAACAGCTCGACGTTTTAGGGTCGCAAAAGTGGACCCCGAAATTCGTTCTCGCACGCATAATACATGAATAGCACAAAAACACCCAGTTTTTAAAGGATAGTTGTGTTGATGTTTACATCCTACTTTAAAATGTTCTTTTCGATTAACATCATTTTGTTCAAAGCGCGTTTTGTAGCCCAATTGGGCTGTTCCAGGACCCAGTGTCCCTTTAAGCAAATTTGAGACAAGTTGAGGGCCTACAAATTTCGTATGTGATTTTGTACATGTAAATGAACTGGATTTGGGGTTACACTGCAGTGTAAGTAACCGCCTAATTATTAATCTGAGTTTTTATGTATTTGTTATATTTTAGTGAACCAGTTCGGTTGTTGCTGTCTGTTGTGCAACAAGCTGCTATATTCGTCTCTTGCGTTGGCAAGGGAACTGTAACCACATGTTAAGTCTGTGTGGAGATAATAAGAGAGTAACAAAAAAGCCTGGGTCAATGCTGTCGTCGTTATTCGTCCCGTACGCGGTCAATCGTCGGCATATATCCTCACGCGCTATGCACATGCATGTAAAATGACAGCGCGAACAGCGACCTCATGCGGCCACTCTTTTTTATGCAAATCAGTTGAGGACGATCTCGAGCCTTGGTTCAATCGTCCATGTGAGGTTTTGGGGGTGGTGCTCATTATGTTAATAACCTTAGCTGACCTTAAATGTCGTTTTCTTATTGGTCGATCATTGCGTGGAAACTTGCATAGTGAAACGTGGCACCGCACATAATGCACACACGTACAATGTACACGTTGTGTTGGTACCAATGCACAAAAACTGTGGTTCCTGTCACGTCCGCAAAAGGCGAATAGCTGCAAATAATTTGATGGCGTCCGGATTTACCAAGGTGTGATTGGACACTCCACATATTAGCCCCGCCTACACTTTTCTGTATTCGCATACGAGGTCGTGCGCTAGAAATCCAGCGCAAAATAAAGAAAAACATAAGCTTTTGCCGACGATTGAACCAAGGCTCGAGATCATCCTCAACTGATTTGCATAAAAAATAGTGGCCGCATGAGGTCGCTGTTCGCGCTGTCATTTTACATGCATGTGCATAGCGCGTGTCTACGGCGATGAGGATCTAGCTTTAGTGAGGATATATGCCGACGATTGACCGCCGCGTAAGTTAATGACATTTTAACAATTTATTTAATCGAATTATATCAAAAGCACAAGCGTGTTGTTCAATGCATGCGTGTTTCTGTTAGATTTTTGATAACATTTTTGAAAATACCCAGCCAATATTTTTTTTACGACACATCCCTTTTCCGGCTTCGGTCTACACAATCGAAGAATATAGTAAGCATTGTCATGACGTTATACCGAAAGATAATGAATTGGAGTCTTTGTATAGATGTAGAATATATTAAGCAAGAAGAACACATATTGACGAGAAATATACATTGTCATAAAACACAACTGGTGTGATATACAACTAAATGTTTTCATTTAAAAACAGTCAAGGGCTTAAAAGATATATACGCGACACGTCATCAGACAAACACGGATCTTAAACAAAGGGCAAAAACACAGAAACTAATAAATCATCATTTTGTACTTTACCCCAATTTATCATGGATCAGTGGATCATCCGATGTTTCATTGGTAAGTTAAAAATCTAACAAAAAGTAAAGGGCCTCAGCAATCTTAAAGAAAAAAACCCACAAATGTAAATTCAAAGATGAACATTTCTAAACATTTAGCCGACCTACGCGCGTACAACAATGAGGGCCGTATTTTTGTGCACAATAAAACATGTACGGCCTGACAAACTGCACAGGCTTGATCTCACTCAAGGATATATTCCTGGTTTAACTCAAACGAAACTTCGGCTGGTTGCACTGCCAGCCACGCTGCGATCTTTGGGTTGGCGGCAATGCGACTCATGAGGGCGGTAAGCTTCGGGTACTTCTCCAAGGAGTTGGCGCCCTTGGCCCATGCCTTGGCCGTGGCGTTCACAACGTCAACCGCGCCAAAGAAAAAGATATCGGCCGCCGTGATCTACAGATACAAAGGAATAAATTACAAACGTGTTTTTGTCAGTATTCTGATTGGTTACCGGTCTGATCACGTGTCGCTTGCTGTTAATGGCAATTCACTGCACTTCCATGTTTCGGTGAAATAAATTAATTTCCTGGATCATCGCCAGAAATAATATTGTTTGGTTAACTGATTAAAGCAAAAAATATTTTACCGAGTTTCCGACGAAAAAGTCCCCAGCTTGCTCCAGGTCGAGTAAACGTTCCAAGGCTTCGTAGACGGGTGGAACCTTATCTTTCAAGAACGTTACTGCTTTCGCGGCCTGAAGTTAAACAAATTTGTATATTTGTTTTCGTAAACAAATACAACCTTATCATTGAAAACAAAAACATTCGGATGTTTGGTTTGTTGGTTGCTTGCCTATTATTGTTTGTTGGGGTGTTTGTTTGTTTGTTTTCGGGGGACAGGGATAAAGCTTTGACCATGGGCCTGGGTAACGGCATCTCTTTTCTGTTTCCGGTTTATTGAATTATTATTTTGTTTAGCAAAGCCAGCCATGTTAAGTGGAAGTGGACCCTACTACACGAATTCCCTGCTCCGCGGCCTCCCCTGCTTGATTTCATCTGCGTTTAAACCAGTGATGTAGTGCCTTGATGCTGGGCCTTGGCCTTAAGGCTGCCTTAAGGCTGGAATTAAGGGCCTTGGCCTTGGCCTCGAGGCTTGAGGGCAAAAGCCGGCCAAATCTGTTCGAAATTTTGCTGTTACCATTTTAATCGTATTACCATGGAGGAGGGAAGCACCCTATAGATTTGTGTGTTGGGCACACTTCCACTTTTGTAGCCTCACATTTTGTTACCATTGTAGTAGATATGCTGCAAAAATATTCCGTACACTTGTGGGGCTAATGAGATGATCACTTTAATTGCATATAACTATGGAATAGATCTGATTGGTTGTATATGTCTCCCTGATAAGTGCTAAAGATTTGAATGTATCTGTTTTAGATAATGCTGATATTTCTGACCATGTTGGGCCAGCAAATAAAAATTTCCCAAATCAGTTTCTTGGATCCCCCTTTTGTTACACTTGGGAGAATTGTGTGTCAATATAGAAGTAAATCATTATTTTGTTTAGTTAAACCATATTGAAGACCTGAACTTATACTTTAATAGATACAGTGCAGTCATAAAACGGTGTAGGCCTATGCGAGCATGTTGATTGCAATTAAAGAAATGTTGTTCTTCGTAACGAGCAATTCGTGATGATAAGGGTGGATCCAGGAGGGCCAAAAGGGGCCATGCCCCCCCCCCCCAAAAAAAAACCTGAAACCATTTTTTTTAATGTGACGTCGTAATAAAGGCAGGCAATGAGTACACCACCATCTTTTCCTAAAAAAACATCGGTTAAAATGGTCAGAAATTGCCTCAAATCGCACCACAGAGCATCTCGAATCCAATTTTTTTTTTCGGGGCCCTTAAGCGGGCCCCGAAGCCCAAGCCGTAATTTTTTGACCCACTTTTTTGGGGGGGACCAAATTTCTTGCCCCTCCCCCCCCCCCCAAATTGTGTTCTGGATCCGCCCTTGCGTGATGATGTGTCACTCATGTGTCACTCATGTGTCATTTCATAAAACAGGGCCTTGGCCTTGGCCTTGAGGGTTATGCCTTGGCCTTGGCCTCGAGGCTTGAGGGTCAAAGCCTTGGCCTTGGCCTTGGCCTTGAGGGTCAAAGCCTTGGCCTTGAGGGTCAAAGCCTTTGCTCCAACACTGGTTTAAACTTTAGTACCTGACTTGCGAAAGGAACACGGAAAATATTCTCGAATTCCGGCCAGATATCCTCCACTGTGTCCATAGCCTGGTCAATGTATGCTGCTTCAAGGGGAGTCTTTCCGTAAAGCCCTAAAGAGACAACAAACAACCTTTCTTAAAATAGCCTTCATCACATCCGACGAAAATCATTTTTTTTTAAGTATTGTTTGCAATAGGTATTTTGCAGACGGTCAACATCACAATAACACTTCTCAACGAGCCTGATTCTATTGTCTCTGGCCTCAATAAAGCCACTCCCCTAACCTCTAAAAATAATCTCCATATATCATCGGTTCATAATCTTAAAAAATTACAACGTTATCAACAGCTGTTTTATATCCGTAACATGTTAATCGTAACTTTTTTTCTTTCAGCGGGATTGTACACATTTTGGTAAAGCCAGTGCTATTGTTGCCTCCAAGTTTAAACAAGTACGCCTCCATGTTGACATTGTGTCATCAATAGGGAAGACGGCTTGGATGGTTTCAAGCCCTAAGACAATTGATGGGAAATATTGAGCAGCAAATTTTACTTGTCTAAAGTTTAGTTTTCATATAGTCGTAATGATCGCCGACAGCACCTCCGAAGAGTCCATTTCAGATCAGCTTTAAGAAAAGTTATAACCACCAAAAATCGTCAATTTACATGAAATATTTCTACGGTTCGTGCTTTTAGTTGAATGACGTCATAAACTGTATCTTCCACGACAGTCTGCCGAAATCTTTCGTGTTGTTATCCCTGTTGGCAATCATTTTTTAACTGGGAAAACTATATTTTAGCTTTTACCACGTTGCAAGTTTAATTATACTTGATTGATTCGTCCTATCCGTTTACGTGATTCTAATGCGATATGACTTATGAGTGAAGCGCGAAAACAAAGACGAACAGAAACTCTAATTATGCCACAAAAGATGCATGTAGAAGCAATTAAATTTTCTAGAAGCGTTATAAACTGTTTTTACCACTGAGAGGTTCATTTGGACAAGAAAAAAGTTTGTAAGGATATCGTACTCGCGAGAAACAAGTCTAACCGCTCTACCGTTATGTATGGCGCAAGAGCTTTTAAACAATCTCATGGGAAATCAGTATTGCTTCAAATGTCAAACCTCTGCCGCATGAAATTCAAACATCTTGAAGAATAATTGAATTGGCACGGCAGAGGTCTGGCCTTTTGGCCAAAAAAGGAAAGTTTTGCTTCCGATTACATGCCTCTCAAAAATAGGGTCGGTCGGTTGGAATGGGGTTTTTTTTGCCAATTTGTTTGTGTGCTGATTGAATGGGGTATTAAATTGAATGCGAATTTTTGTCTGAACTATTTCCATCTTACCACGAAAGCTTTGCAAAAAATGGCCACAAACAAGCGATTAAAATTTATCTTAATTATTGTCAAAATATTCACGGTCGATAAATCTTTAAATTAATGGAAAATTCATGTCGTTTATACGATATACATGTATATGCACAACGTTAGTCATGACGGGAAACTGGCCAACACTGTCCGTACATCGCGCGGTATAAGCGTGCGTAATGCACTGTGTGTGGGGGCGAAGAACCTCGTTTTTACGGAAGCAAATTTCGGGGAAACACGCTGCATCGTATCACTCCAAATACAAGTAGTACAACCTCGAAATAAATCCATGAACTCGGAAAATACATACACAGACAAGACCGAGAGATAAAGTTATGTGTATTAATTTGCAAAAATGTTCTTTTTCCATCAGTGTTTTCTTGGCATTTTTACGATGTCTAATCCGACCTGCAACTGAAGTGCACCGCGGCCATGCCCATGAATGGATTGGTTACCTCATTTCCAGCATGCCTTCTTTAGCCCTTTCAATGCGCGACGCGGCGGGAACCAGTCATCGCTGCATTCAGCATTAATGCACGCGTTTCATATCGTCATCGCGACATCGAATTGTGAACTAGTTATCGCGAAGCGAAATTGTAAAACAACGGAGGTTTCTTGTAAAAAAAATAGCGAATGTAAGTAGGCAAACAAATAAATACAAGCATTTTGAGGCAAAAAGGTTGTTGAGAGGTGTTTTGTAAAGACAGAAAAGGAATCAAAATTTTTTAAAATTGGATTATTCATCTGGTTTGGGTTTTTTTTTTTTTTTTTTTGCCGATCAGTTTTTTTAAGGTCGCTGCCCAAAAATAGGGTTGGTCGGGTAAGATGAAGCAGGGTTTTTTTTGGCCTTATGAGCGAGCTAATAAGACAATGTGTTGACGGATAAAACTCACCGAATTCTTTGGCTAAGTACCGCAGGATGGCCTTAGTCTGTCCAATCATCTTCCCGTCCACCTCCAACACCGGTACTTGCCGAGTGGGATATTCTAAAATCAAATAAAAGACGTTTACAATAAATGAGCCATGCAATCCTTGCCCACATGGCCTACCCCCTCCAACCCCCAAAGACAATGTTTATGTAATTTTCCTGGTACCCAGCAATTCGGGCGATGCCCAATGCAAAGCGCCACAAGAGTTTGCCATGGAGAGTCTATTTTTCGAGTGTACGGTCGACAAAACATGGCCCGTTTGAATAAGTTTCAGTAGACAACTTGAGCTAATTTGTTATAGATTGGGGCATAGCGTTCTGCCGCCTTACAAAAACACAATATTGATAAAAAGAACAGAAAAGGGAAAACGGATTCCCGAATCATACGCTTACGAAACTACTGACCGGAAAAACTCTAACAATTTCAAATGTCCCTCGCGTCTCCAAAAATGCAAGCTCTGGGTGGTGCACTGCATTTTGAGTCGCCCGAATTCCTTGGGTGAAAATTGTCATGAGGAGGGTGGGAGGCGGGGGGGGGGGGCGCCTGCTTGTCAGAGAAAAGGGTCAGGATATGTCGCGACAGTTAAACGCGGCCTAGGTGTGCTGTGGTAGCCTTTGAAGTTCGAACTCTAAAGTTACACAGGGATCATAGTGCTTGTGTCCTTGAGCAAGACACTTAGCTTCAATTTGCTTTCGTCCTCTCAGGGCTACGTGGTTATTGTACCGTTGGGCGACCAATCACGACCAAGAGCGCGTATACAGGCCGGTGTTTCAACAGTGCCTTGGACCGTAGCCACGGGGGTATTAACAGAAAATAAACCGCTTCGATCAACTCGCACATGTTTTTCATTATATTTTTTAACAAATTTTGAAGACATTGCATTTTATGTATTTGTTTTGGTATTTTTCACCACTTCTGCCTAAAACTACTTTTTGATCGGAAGTGTGACTCGAAACGTACAGTTCAAGAATTGCCATAATGTAAGGAACATACTTGGTTTGAGTTTCGGCCATTCTGACATTTCGAAGTTCACCTCTTCGAAGTCGACTCCACCAAGCTTGAACGCCAGACGAATGCTTTCAGCGCGGACATTGGCCTTGAAGTAGTGCAGCACGTATTTCACCATGGTACGTGGATGGATGGATATGGATGATTTGAAGCTGTTGAAATATGGCTGTTAGCAAAAACCTCAGTGCTCGTCGTCTGCCAACAACGAAAACGGGCGGCAACGTATGTGAGATCCGTGATTCAGCAAATCATCGTGTGATACGTATTCTTCCCACAAAATCAACAGCTTAAGTTGAAGGTTTAGTTGCAGAGTCATTCATTCTAGTATCAAAGTTCAACACAATTCGGTCTGCACTATCGAGGGCAAAACCTTTGTGAAAAGTCACAGTACGATCAAATGGTTCTCACGTGTATAGGCCTATAATAAACTCCAAAAGAGCCGTGTGCGTTAGTACAAACTGACGAGCGATCTGGCCGGCCAAATCTCGCTGGGCCCCAGCTCCCCGGCCCCAGGTCAATGTTGTCTCTCATTACATAGAGCGGTCTGTGCTCCGGCTGGCGAGCGTCTGAGAAATCATTGCAACCTGCATCCAAACCGCTGCAACAATGAAAGGGGGCTGATAAAGGTCTATCGTACCTGCATGCATGGACGTAAATGATTTAGCTGTTGTACTATTTGATACACAGATCACAGGGAGTTACCAAATCTTACCCATAATAATTAAAACAACTAGTCAGTTTTCTGTTGCGCTTTGCGGAAAAGGTTTTTGTGCAGTCTGTTTTTTTAGGAGTTAGGGATCCGCCATTTTGAACCAACGGATACAATATATTTTGCACCCGATGAGCATATGCGCTGGAGTTACTCATGCTATCACTTACTAACGTTATATAGTAGTATGACTCAAACAGTGGACTTTGTTAAAGACCTACTTGGAGCAGGGCCAGTAACTCTTAGTACGTAAACTGCCAACGACCAAAAACATCGAGGCCAGTAAATCGTCGCATATCTGACGAACCGACGAATACGCGCGATTACGCGTTAACGCAATTCTGAGAAAAACGCGTTTAAAGTTGAACACATTAAACGTGTCCCTTTTCGATGCTACTTTCCCCTTTTGTACATTCTTAATTTATTCAAGGTAGTTATTTGATTGTTAAAATATATCTATTAATTTGTTTTTTGCTCGTAAGACTAAAGGTTTGTCTAATTTTTGCTGTGAAACTTATTCGTCACTTCGCGAGATAGATTAAAACGTCATTGTGCTTATTCGCCACGTAAAAATGTCTTATTCGTCACTTTGTAAGATAACATTTTGACTGTGCGCGCGTTTTTGCATCACAAATCCATTGCATATTCGTCACTTCTTTACAACACTACCCGCATTTTCAAAGAAATGTGTATGTTTTACAAACATTTTCTATTTTCTTTTAAGGAAAAAATATAGTAACACTTAAACCCCACGTTCAAATCCAAGTACTTGCTTTAATGTTTTAATAATATACAGTAGCCTAATAAAAAAGTTATTAAAAAGGAAAATATCTCGAATGGACGCAACAAAATAGAAGAAACACAAAACTGTGAATGCGAACTAACAACGAACAACACTATTTATTCATTCATTCATGTAAGACAGCAATTGTTTCAAAAACAATCAGTTTTGTCTCAAAATCCCATAATTATTGTCTTCCAGGGTACAATAATCTCAGTAACGGCTTGTTATCCTTAGGCATTCTGCTTTCATTCGCCGCTTAAAGGGCTCCGTTTTCGAGAATACAAAACCTGTATCTCGAAATGCAGTATTTTGGGTATCCTATAAAACGTCGTTTTTGAAAGAAAGTGTACCGCACACGTTGAAATAATTTATATTTTTATTTATTATCCTTATCATCACTCACCAGCTAGGGCACACGTTATTTCAGTATAGGCTCATTCCAATGAGGTTTTTCTGCTCTAATTAGCCACTTAGAGAGGCTCCGTTTTCGAGAATATCTCGAAATGCAGTGTTTTGGGTTTCCTTAAAAATGCCGTCTTTGAAAGAAAATCTACAAATAAAACATATTTTTATGTCATCATCCTAAGTATCACCTTCCTGGGCACTCTTCATTTTCATTGTGGGCTTATTCCCATGAGGTTTTATGCTCAAATTAGCCACTTTCGAGAATATCTCGAAATGCAGTATTTCGGGTCTCCCATTGAACGCAGTTTTTAAAGAAAGTGTACCGCATATGTTTTGAATAAATAATATTTTTATTTAATAATCCTATTTTCACCTTCTAGGGTGCACTTCATTTCAGTATTGGTTTATTCCAATAATGTATTCTGCTTTAAGTAGCCGCTTAAATGGACTCCGTCGAAATGCAGTAATAATGCTTTCCTATAAAACGTCGTTTATGAAAGAAAGTGTACCGCACGTTTTAAAAAAAATCCTAATTTTCATCCCCTAGGAGGCACTTCATTTCAGTATGGGCTGATTAAAATGAGGTTTTCAGCTCTAATTAGCCACTTAAAGGGGACCGTTTTCGAGATTTTCTCGAAATGCAGTAGACCTTTTGTGGAATTCCTATAAAACGCCGGTTTAGAAGGAAAGTATATCGCACGTTTTAAATGAATCCCAGTCTGTATAAGCGTGTCCGTCGCGCAGTCCTAGCCTAGTACATTTTGTGCTCCGTTCATTTTAGGATTACAACTCTACATACACAAACTTACATAAAGGTGAAGTAGTAACTTCTTTTTAGACATCATTATAATGTTGCAGCGCCGTTAGTTTGTTTTGAAAGGTGACGGAAAGCGCGCGAAACAGAAGATCCCTGGTTCCCTCATACGCCATTCAATTATTAAGACGGGTGTGTGCGTAACCAATGAATAACTGGTTATTCGTCACTTCGTCAGATACTGGATGCGCGCTGTTCTGATATGACCAAGCGTCGAATAATTTATTCGTCAGTTCGCAAGACATTTTTTTTCCAATATGTGCCGATTCGTCACTTAGTGGGTTTCGGAACAACACAAATGAAGTGTTTTCATGAATTAAAAACCTAAAAATCTGAAAATTCGAATATTTTTAACCCTAAAACTCAATTAATAAAAAAACTCCAAAATGACCGATTCGTCACTTCGTCAGATATGCGACGAAATGGCCTCTGACCTTGTACGACCTTTACGTGGGAACTATCAATATCATACGGTGATCTGCTGATTCGCGGAGCGGCGGATCTCACATAAGTTGCCGTCCGTTTCGTTGTTGGCAGACGACGAGTACTGAGGTTTTGGCTAACAATTTCATTTCAACAGCTTCAAATACCGTTCAAGCCATCTGCCGACCATGGTGAAATACGTGCTCCACTATACCTCAAGGCGCGTTGTCGCGCTGAAAGCCTTCGTCTTGCTTTCAAGCTTGCAGGAGTCGACTTTGAAGAGGTGAACATCGAATATTCGGAATGGCCGAAACTCAAACCAAGTGAGTTCCTCACATAATGGCAATTGTTGAACTAATTAAGTCAGTGTCGAGTCACACTTCCTAACCAAAAATTAGGCAGGGAAGGAGTAGGCCATAATCATGGGAGTGGATTATCCCATTTACTGTGAACGTCTTTCTTTGATTTTAGAATATCCCACTCGGCAAGTACCGGTGTTGGAGGTGGACGGGTAGATGATTGGACAGACTAAGGCCATCATGCGGTACGTAGCCAAAGAATTCGGTGAGTTTTATCCTTCTTCACATTATCTTACCAGCTCGCTCATAAGGGCCGGACCTCTGCCGTGCCAATTCTCTCCAAGATGTTTGAATTTCATGCAGCTCGACGTTTGAAGCAGTACTGATCTCCCATCGGAATGTATAAAAGCTTTCGCCTCTTGTTTCGTTTTTGAAATATTTGTCAAAATGAACCTCTTAGTAGTAAACACAATTTGAACGATTCGAGAAGTTTTTAATTGCTGACACACGCGTCATACGTGTTGTGTTTTCCTTTAGACTTGAACTCCTTTAAACAATCATCGCAAAAAAAATCTTGAGAAAACACGATCGTAATGTTTATACCAAAATACGAATAAAGGCCTTTGTGTCACCATTACAGGAGTTTATTTCTACCCATGTTGAGACCCCATAGATTTGTCTCAAATGAAGAAATAAACCACACAATGTCACACCATCGAATAATCAATGTGGTGTTCGATCTTACGCACATTTTTATTCACAAGCCAGTCTATAAGAGAGGCGTCTCTGAATGGGATAGAGCCATCATTTATTTTAATATCTAGCAGGACCTTTTTGGAGGGGAGGGGAATAGCTTGATGGAGGCCAGAACAATCGAAGCTGGCTAGTTGAGAAATGTTTTTTTTTTATGTTGACCGTCTTCAGAAGACATTTTTAATATTGTGACAAACAATAGTTTTTCATTTTCGTCTTATGTGATAAACGATATTTTTTTCAAGAAAGGTTGTTTGTCGTTTCTTTAGGGCTTTACGGAAAGACTCCCCTTGAAGAAGCATACATTGACCAGGCTATGGAAACAGTGGAGGATATCGGGCTGGAATTCGAGAATATTGTCCGGGGTCCTTTTGCGACTCAGGTACTAACAATTTGAACGCAGGTCCTAAATCAACGAGTGCAGGAGTTGAGGGCAGGGGAATTTAGGACCATATTCCATTACAATGCATGCACCTCCCCTCTAAAATGAAAATGCATTACCCCTTAGTCAACGCTTCATCATACCCCATCCCGCCGAAAAATGAACAATAATCAACAACCAACTAACCAACCGAACATCATAGTGTACTTGTTTTTTTAGTGATGAACCTAAGGTTGCATTTATTTACAAAAAAAAACACAATTGTTTTTATGCGGTGGTCACATCTTACGGTCATGAACGTAGTTGAACGTAGTTAATTTGACCGTAGTTGACCGAAGTGCAACTACGGTCAACTAGGGTGAAGTAGGCCGCGAGAACAGAAACTTTCTTGAAGGTTCCACCCGTCTACGAAGCCTTGGAACGCTTACTGGACCTGGAGCAAGCTGGGGACTTTTTCGTCGGAAACTCGGTAAAAAGATATTTGTTTTTCTTTTAGTTCATGACATAAAAAAATATAATCATTTCTGGCGATGATCCAAGAGATGAGTCTATTTCACAGTAACTGCGAAGTTCACAGTGAATAATAGTGACTTACAAAATTAAAAGCGACGTGTGATTGCAAAGGTAACCAATCAGAATATTGAAGAGAAACACACATTCGTCTTTTCCTTTGTATCTGTAGATCACGGTGGCTGATATATTTTTCTTCGCCGCGGTTGACGTTGTGAACGCCACGGCCAAAGGCGCCAACTCTTTGGAGAAGTACCCGAAGCTTACCGCCCTCAGGAGCCGCATTGCCGCCAACCCAAATATTGCAGCGTAGCTGGCAGTGCGACCAGCCGAAATTTCGTTTGAGTTTGACCATGACACTATGTGGGAGTGAGATCAAGCAAGTATAGAAAGCCAGTTATACCGCCCTCGTTGTTAATTAT